TATTTGACAATTAGTGTTCAAACATGGACTAATTAGGCTCAAAACGTTCGTCTCGCAATTTCCCACCAAACTGTGCAATTAGTTTTTTTTTCGTCTACATCTAATGCTCCATGCACGGGCCGCAAACATTCGATGCGATGGCTACCGTAACACTTTTTGGGATTTTGGGTTGGAACTAAACATGGGCTTAGTCAAACTTAAAAATATTTTGATCCCTCGATGAGTGAGATGTGCACTTATTTTGAGCGGCGGGAATATATGTTTAAGAGTCCATAGTATAATTTTGACTAGTGCATCAAAACTTAATCATACCCCAACTGGAGTATTGTACGGACTGCAAAAAAAATGCAATACAGAATCGTCGGATTCTATATATACACTTTTCTTAACAAACATGATATAGTTATAAATGTTTCTAGTGAAATCAATGTTAATTACAAAAAAGTTGAGTTAGGATAAATCTAAATAGACTCAGATTTGTGATTGGTGGAAATACGAGATAAAACTCCTATGCACCATTTCTTTCAAAGTGGATGGACAAATCATGATGGTACTACGGGTGACTTTATTATATGTTAAGAACAAATAGGCACCCAAATTTATCTTCTCGAGAAGATTCACTACTACAGAATGCTCATCATCACCGGTTTTATATCATCATTTGTGAAAGTGGGCAGTAATAACAAAGGTTATCACCATCCGCTTGGCTGTTCCATCCGGTGGTGATAAAGTGAATATTCCAAACCACGTGGTTAAGGGTCCGTTTGGTAAAGCTCCGCCACCAGCTAAAACTACTTTTGCTCCAGCTTCTTTGGTGGACAGTTTTCTTTAGTTTTGGCTTCTCTTGTTACAAAAACATTCGGTATAACAACTCCTCAATTTTGACTCATGGGCCCACTTGTCATTGTGTCCACGTGAAAATGTTATTTATGAATCGTCCATTCCTCTTCTCTTCTTCTCCTCCACCGCTCCTCGCACCTCTGCCTCCACGAGTGCGACTCGCTAGCCTGCTCTGCTTCTGCACATGTGGCTGGACGGTCATGCCCATCTGCCCTTCCACCATCCCTCCTCGCCACGGTAGTGGCTACATGTTGTCCCGCCTCCCCAACATTAGTACATGTGGGCCACGCCCGTCTTAGCCTTGACTCCGATAGTGGCGCATCGCCCCTCTCATCGCCGATGTAGGTGGCAGCGTCTGCCCCTCCTCCGTGCAACCGCAACTGCGCTCCTCCTTCCCACATCAGTGGCCATGCATGCTCTCGACACCGGTGGCCGATAGGCCACACCCCTCCTCCCCGTCATTGTCGACCATCCTTAAGCTAGCCTTCACCGATACATAGGCCTATGGGAGCGAGAGGGAACTAGAAGAAGTTGGTATTTTTAGCTCCTCTTCTTGCCTACTCCCTCCGTCCTATTGAAAATGTTGTTTTTAATTTTTAGACTTCTTGTTTGACCATTCGTCTTATTTAAATTTTTATGCAAATAATAAAATAAATAAATCATTATTAAAGTATCTCTAATGATAAAATAAGTCATAACAAAATAAATAATATTTATACAAAAATATTGAATAAAAGGAATGGTCAAACAAGAAGTCCAAAAGTCAAAAACGACACATTCAATGGGACGGAGGGAGTACAGTTCTAGACAACTGGAAAATTGGGACTTCACACGTGTAGTGGCACCTCTCGATATATTTGGTTGGCCTCATCCAAAACTTACTTCATGAGCTACTCCTCGGGACCTTAGGGTGCATTCGGTAGGATCTAGAAATGATTCAGATCCAGATTATCTCAGGAAACATTTTGGATGATGAATCAGATTCACTATATAAAATCATTTTCCAGCACGTAGGCCCATGAGAGCAAGAGAGAGCCGGAAGAAGCTGGTATTTTTAGCTCTCTCATCCGCATGAAGATCTAGACAGCGGGAAATCTAGGAGTTCACACGTGTCGTGACACCTCCCGATGCATTTGGTTAGCCTCTCCCATAACCTACTCATGGAGCTACTCCGTGGGGGCCTTAAGGTGTATTTGGTAGGGCTCCAGATTTTTGTAAAAACATTTCAGACTAGATTATCTCAAGAACACATTTAGGATGATGAATTAGAATCACTTTATAAAATAATTTAAATCATCGTATAAATAAAAACACGCTTTAAAAAATTCTAATTTTTTGGACAATATAAACAACTTAAATACAACCTATTTTAACTTATTGTATAATAAAAAAAATTAACTGAGAGAAAAGAGAAGTAGGAAGCGATAAGATGAGAATATACGTGAAACCAGCCTCTCGCTGTTTGGTGTACATATGTAAGAACGACTGAATCGTTCCGGTTCCGAAGCGCTGGCTGAAAATATCTTTTGGAGATGATTCTTCCGATTAATCTCACAAAACGGAATCGTTTCTCATGTCCAAACCGAACCTAGTTGTACATCTCTACACTCTGCTATCTGATATAGGTAGGCTCCTGGATTCCTATGCACTAAATTAATTCATCTGTCATTGATTCGCATCCAAGTGACAACTCCAGTCCACCCAACCTGCTAAACAACGGTGCATTATCTCCGGGTACAAAAGATCATCTGTCATTATTCATTGTCAACAATCAGCACCACCCCATGTAATAGGACTGTACGAGTACTGGCTCGATAGCGTGTGTGGTCATCATGTCAATAGATCCACATCCAAGGTAGCAGCAGCAGAAGAAGCAGCATGGAAATTTCTCTCTAGAGAGCAGATAGATAGATATGTCTCTATCTCTTTCTTTCATTATCCATCTTCACTGTTCACTCCACGATAGGCACACAGATACTGCAACCGTAGTAGAGAACGCGTTTTCTCGCTCGTTGGTGTTGTTACCATCACAGTCCTCTTCCTTTTTACCTTTAATCATAGCTAAGCTTGACCGCCGGGGTTTGCATTGGAGATTTGTACTAACGCACAGTGATCCCCGGCCAAAAGGGCGACACTTACGTTGTGTTTGGTTGGCGCCGTGGTCCATGGCTGCGTCTAGGGACTCTCTGTTCCCGCGTTCATTTTCATTTTGCGTAATAGTGAGCAGGTAAAAGCAACGCAAGTGTATGGGACTCAAATTTGACAGCACTAGCTCTCCACTTAAAATGAGCAATAGAATTACCTGTAAAGTAAATTTTACTGCTGCCATGAAAATTCATGTTTTTCTTTATGCCCGTGCGTTGCAACGGAAAAAAAAGAATATAACTCCTTGCTGAGAATTTTTTGTTCTTTAATATTTAATAATTAGGTATAGATTTGGGATTAACCTAGATTATCCATGCGATCGTAAAAATCTAGAATGTACGTACATCTCTCTTTTTATTAGTTGTATATGATTTATATGAAATCCTGATGAGTCACGGCAGTTTGCCGCCGCTATTTTCCTCCTGTAAACATCTTGGCTCTAGTCAACGAATCCTCAAAAGGGACTGTTCATTGGTTTTGGCTGTCGTCAATTTTTCCTGTTGGAATCGAGTTCTCCCACCGATGATGCACACCTTCCTGACGAAGCATTATTGCTTTGCTCATGTGCATGCACGTTTGCAATTATGATAAGATTTCCTTTAGTTTTGTTGATGATAAATTTGTTGTCATGGACTTATGCCTCATTTATACTTGTATTTTTTTTCTGGTTGAGTTAGTATTTCTATCCAGCTTACTCAGAATCGGATAGAGCTATTTCAATTAGAATTCCTATAACTATCTAGGTTACTTTAAGAATTATGTCCAATATGTGTCATATAAAATATGAGAGTTGTAGAGATACGAACAGTTTCCATATTCACATAGTTAGTTATAGAAAGACGAACCAAAAAATGGATGGACCAGAAAAATGGGCTGAAATTATTTTAATACTTTAATTTTTTTTGCGGATGTAAATTATTTTACACAATTTATAATTTCATGATAAATATTTATATAAATAATGATTGATTAATTGGTATATTGATTTAATTGTTAAATATTATTAATTAATTTAATGGATAATATTATATATTTGTTGAATTGAGTAAATATCTGAATAGAAATCCGAATCCGATACATTCGTTTTATATTCGTATTCGACAAGATCCGTATCCGTATTCAAATCCGAATTAAAATATGGTAACGGCGACATCTAGATCCGATTCCATGCGAATCCGATCCGTTTCCGTCCCTAATGAGTACACAAGTCTGGATGTGGTGCTATTAGACATATTATTATATTTAAATACATAGCAAAATAAATGTACGAAAAAAGTTAAAGCGACTTATAATTTAGAACGGAGGGAGTATTAAGTAAACCACGTAACATAGAGGCATAGATATAGGCATATGTAAAGCAAGGCAAAAGCATCATTCGCAGCAAGAGCAAAGTAATTGAGAGTACCGTAGCGGTAGACTCTATGAAAAAGCTATAGTTGACTAGTTAGAGCCATGATTATATATTAATTCACTGCACTGCAGGGAAAGTGAAGAGCTACAAGGAGTGTTGAGTGGGGATAACCCATGAGCATGACTCCATCAGGGCCCTTGCAGTGCAACTAGGTGAAAATGAAACTGACGCGGGGAGGTGCGCCTGGCTCTGGTTTTGTCTTTGTTTGATTGCTCTGCTCGACCGATCGCCCACTCCTCCGGCCGCGTCCTGCCCACCTCACCCTGTCGCCTCCACTCGCTTCTCCACCAGTCACCACAGCAGCCCAGCAGCCCTCTCCTGCCTCTATTTATGATGCCTGCCTGCCTGCACCGAGAGAAGAGAACCATCGCCCGGCCACTACCAGGTCCAGGACGGCTAGCAGTAGTGTTACTCATACAATTGAGCCGCAAGAAAAGCATCGCATCGAATCGTCTTCTCCATCCCAGTATTTTTTATATTCCGCCATTGTTGATCGCTCGCTCGCCTTCTTTCCTCTGCGATCGACTGCGGACGGCTGGCAAGGAACCGAGCCAACGTCCAGATTCCAATCCCAAGATTGCTTCCTTCCCTGCCAGAGCCGGCCATGGAGAAGGAGACTCCGCCGCTGCATAGCAGGGACGACCTGCAGGTAAAGTCAGGAGGCCCAGACTCAGATACATCATTCATGTGTGTTGGAATTGTCTGCACTCTTATCTGCCTTAATCCTTGCGTATTGAGGTAGGAAAAAAATATTGTTACTGCGTAATCCAATTCCTTGCCAGATGAGATGGGATCTTCCGGTAATCTGCTAGTGCTGTTATCTTGTTGCTACCCTTGTCAGGGGAAAAAAAAACAGTTTTGGTATTTTTTTCATTTTTATTTTTTAAAAAGACTTCAAGAGCCTTGCTACCCTTGTTGCTCTGAAATTAGATTAGATTAGATGGAGTAGTGTTGTTTCCATGGCAATCAGCAAACCAGCAGGTCTGGCAACAGATTATTTGTGAAACTCTGCTGATTTTCCTTCCTAGTTGCATGTTTATCTCTGAATGTTTTTTTTCCACCTATATATAAGCAACTACAAACTCTGAAGGAAGATCGCTCTGAAGAATCCTGTTCCTCTTTTGTACTGTATTTGTATGTAGGACGCCACTGCAGCAAGTGTTGTTTCATCCGAGCAACGGCCGCGGCCTCACCTCTGCATCGACATCCTGGCAGATCACCTCCCGACGCCGACGCCGACGCCGACGCAAGCCGGCATGAGCATCACCCCACCTTCCATCAGGAGGGGGCAGCAGACAAGCAGCAACATCCCCAGCACGCCCGTTTCTTCCTCCAGCAGCAGAAGCAGGCCGCCTCTGCGATCGCCGTCCTTCATGCTGAGGCAGACGGTGAAGAGCCTGCTGCCGGCGGGGAGCTTCAAGTCGTCGGCCGTCGTCAGGGGCTACGAGGCCTCCTTCTCCAAGCTGTTCAGCAGCGCCACCAAGACCAAGGTGATGGCCAGGACGTCGTCGCTCCCGCTGGACGATGCTCTGTCCTCGTCACAGCCACAGCCACCAATTCAGCCGAAACCAGGTGCAGCAGTCCACCACATCTGCCGTTCGCAGTCCCTCCCCATGAACATGAAGAAGCTGAACGCCAACGCCAAGAGCTTCAAGAGGATGGACTCGCTAGGCGGCATGTACCGCGTCGTGTCTTCCACTCCCAGAGCCCCTGTTGTCGACCCTGACATAGTCCCTTCAGATTCAGGTGGGTATCTGATGAATCGTTTCTGGCAGTTACAGACTTTGCTCTGCATTATTCTGAATTTCTGATCAATGGTGTTCAGGGACGACCGGCGGCGGCGGCCACGACGACGATGGCGGCGAGGACATCCCGGAGGAGGAGGCGGTGTGCCGAATCTGCATGGTGGAGCTGTCGGAAGGCAGCGACACCCTCATCAAGCTGGAGTGCTCGTGCAAGGGCGAGCTGGCGCTGGCGCACAGGGACTGCGCCGTCAAGTGGTTCAGCATCAAGGGCACCAGGACCTGCGAGGTGTGCAAGCAGGACGTGCAGAACCTCCCCGTCACCCTGCTGCGTGTCCAGAGCGTGCAACAGCGCGACCTGATGAATCGCGGCGGAGGGAGCACGGCCAGATACGATCGGTACAGGTAAGCTAGATGCATGCTCTTAACAATTCCCCATCGCTCTTATCATCAGAAAATTCAGAATTATACTTGCAGCAAGTCTTTAATTAATTTGTGGATGGATCGGAGAACACCTAAGCAGCTACTTCAGTTTATGAATGACAAATTTGACCAGAATTGCTTTGCTTGCATATGAGTGACACCGCTGCATAATATAAAGATTGCCCTTCCTTACATATATATATAAGAGATAACAGTACATATATAGTGTGACTGTACAATGCTTTCCTGCTGGACCCATGGAGTATGTTTGTTTATTTACTCGTGAACAAGCAAGTTTTACTTGAACAATCCAAGCATCTGGGATGCCACCACGTACGCACACGCGCATCTTTTGTTTTCAACAAGGGTGCTATCACCTGCATCATTAGACATAACACCTGTACTAGCTACCATTTTGGAATGACACACAATAATAATATATACTTACACACAAGTAGTAGTTGGTTACCGACTTCGAGCAGATTACCACCACACGTGTTATCAAATTAACATTTCTCTCAAGACTCAAATCTGACTGATGTGATCGAGCCAGTGGTGCGCGTGGTATGCTTACACCTGAAACTCACAAACTTCCTCTTGTCTTGTTACTCAGAGTGTGGCATGGGACGCCTATCCTTGTAATCATAAGCATCCTGGCCTACTTCTGCTTCGTGGAAGAATTACTGGTACTGCTGCTACCTCCCCGGCCACTCTTGTTCTTGCTAAAATTGACATACATAGTATATGCATGGTATGCTAAATTCACCTGACTGACAGGTGGCCCATGACGGCATTGCTGCGCTGGCTATATCGCTGCCCTTCTCATGTATCCTGGGCCTCTTCTCATCCTTGACTACCACAAGCATGGGTACGTCATGACATGACATCCACGAGTCAAAGTAAAACACTATTATTACATATATAGATGCTTGCTTTCAGAGCTAGCCATGATACTTATCAGAACCTTGCATTGCGTGCAGTGGCAAGAAGATACGTATGGATCTACGCGGCGGTTCAGTTCCTCTTGGTCGTCTTCTTCACCCATCTCTTCTACAGATATGTAAGCATACACCATCCAACACAGCTCTTCTGAACATGTTGTTATGTGTGTGTGTGTGTGTGTGTGTGTGTGTGTGTGTGTGTGTGTGTGTGTGTGTGTGTGTATATATATATATATATATGCTGACCAGCAGCGGGTCTTTGCAATGCATTGCAGCTCCATTTGCAGGCTGTGATATCCATCATCCTGGCGACCTTCGCCGGTTTCGGCGTGGGCATGACCGGCAACTCGATCGTCATTGAGATACTACGGTGGAGGGCGAGGCGGGTGGCGCCTCCTACCCAGCAGGCCCGCCGTCACCGCAGGGCGCGTGCACCTCAGCAGCTACAGGCTCCGCCGGCATCTGATTCTGATCAACCTTCCAGTCAACCTTCATCTGCAGACGTGGGAATGGGAGTGGGACAGCACAACGCCGTGGCCGCCGCCGGCGATGTTGAGAACCCACCCGTCCCTCAGGCATAGAACATTACTGCTTATACGATTCTCTTCTAGTTGAAATACTGTCGAGCAGTAGCAGTTTGTAGTTTGTTAGTTTTCCAGAGAGGTTGTAATGGGACCTTGTTACACTGTGTAAAAGGTAGTCCAGATGTGACTCCGAATTTTGCTTCTCTGATATATGGGTTGGACTCTCAATGCACCATCTCATTTGTGAACTAAACACCCCCTAAAGTATCCTTCGAACCCAACAAGCAAGGTTAACCATTACAAGACATAATTAACTACTCTGGCCTCCATCAAAAGAAATCCATGCAATTTTTGTCATAAGTCAAACAATCAAGTTTGACAAATTTTATATTAAAAATACTAAAGATTTATGGTATCTAATAAGTATTATTAGATTTAGCATGAATTTTTTTTCATAGTGGTGTAAAAATGTTTTATTTTTTATAATAAATTTGATCGAAGTTAAGATAATTTGTGACTTGGAAAAATTAGATTAGCTTTCTTGGTGACGAAGGGAGTTGAGTTGAGTGATGTTTACAAAAAAAGATAAATGCATTAGTAGTTTATCACTGAGACAAAGGTAAATGGAAATTGAACATAGGAATGAAGTGGTAGTAAACAAATTAACATCAGTTGTGACGACAGATAAGAAAAGGATCAATTGTAATAAAATAAAAGTAGACATGGGGACACACCAAAATATTCTTTCCCTTGTGATGTTGTCAAGTTATAAAGGTAGGCCCCACCGACGACCCGCCAGCCAGATACATATGCACTATACTTTTTTGAGTATCCAGGCACACACAATTAACTTTGCTAATTACCCTGCCCCACAAGCCCCTAGGTACCCTTTGTCAGTGAGACGTATGCATATTTTCAGTGAACCTGATGAAGGAAACCCCCTAGTGCACGCAAGAAACATATGCATGCATGGTGATGCCTCTGCAGGTACATGCTCTGGGCAGAGTCTCAAGGCTGGAATCATCGAATCGCTTGTGCTCAAGCTTCAAGTTTCCCCCTTGACGCACGCTACCCTGCAGTGCAGCATCTCGAATTGCGACTCCAATTCAATGGTGTTCGCATTTGTGTCCTCCCTATATATACGTGCATCCGGATCAAGCCTAGCCTTCATCGAGCACCCGCCCTCCCCCCAAGCTCACCACGAACACAAGAAATTAACACCAGCACACAAGGAGCAACAATGGCGTCGTCCAACAACGTCGTGGCCACCGAGGTGAGCAACGCCGTCACCAAGCTCAACGACCACCTCGGCACCGCCCTCACCGGCAGCGGCAGTGAGAACACCACCATCATCACGCTGGCGGGGGAGAACAGCGGCGCCAACTTGGAGGCGGCTGCATCGGCCGGCGACGTGGAGGACCTCGTCGTCGTCGGCAGCGCGGACGCGGAGGAGCATGACGAAGAAGAGGAGGGGGAGGAGAACGTGGTCATCACCGCCTACGCCAACAGCAACTACCAGGCCGTCAACAACTCGGTGCTCGTCGCCAACGACCCCGGCGTGCACGTCGTCGTGGTGGAGCACGTCGACGAGATTCGCGACTACGACGAGGACATCGACGGGCAGGAGTTCTGAGCATTGCATTATTAATGACTGCAAGTGATGGTTTCAACAGTATGATCGATGAACTCCCTCAGCGCACGTAAACGATGCTCTAAATGTTACTAGTTGATGATCAAGGTGATCTACGGGTCAAGGACATATATATCATATATATCCATGCATGACATATATATGTATGCATCCCGCCGGCTTTCAATTCCTTGCTTTATTTGGTCCATACATTGGTTCTACTATATATTTACATTTTCTTGGGTCGGCTTTGTACGATGTGCACACTTATACTTGAATAAAATTCTACCTGAATAGCATTGCAATCATCGTCCATCTGGAGTAATAACTCTAGAGCAAATGGTTTTGAAAAAAAAAACGTACGTACAGAAACAAATTCAATATAAAATAGTGTCCTCTTAGAACTGTCGTCTTTTTCTTTCGAAAAAAAATTAAACACAAGCCAACATCGATGATGATCGATCATCAACCGTGCCCTTATTAGATGATCACTTCATCTCGGTCCTTAATTTATGCTAAAACCAATGATGAGATTACTAATAATTGTGTGGAAGGATCTCAGAGACCATAGTGTTTGGATCAGTTTCGGATTTTTAAATACTAATTTTTGTTTCTAATTTCTAAAATCTAGATTCTGATAAAAAATTGGTGGGGCGTTGGATCCTCAGTTTTTAAGAATCTGCATTCATTTATTGCTCTATGGGTCACAAAAACTAGCAAAAGTTGCGTATCAATAGCTTCCTGTTTTTTTAAGAATCTAGCAAAAACTGGTAGCAAAAACTGACAAATTTGGAATGGGTAGTGCGTCCTCGGCTGCCAATGTTAGAGGCTATCACTATCGCACAACCAAATTAGCTAGTCACGTCGCGTGAAACCACCCCTCCGTCCAATAATGCCAAGAGCTACTTACTTGTTGGCCCCCGAAATGGGTAGTTTTTTTATTGAATCCCATGAAATAGGTAGTGTCAGCCCTATCTAGGAGCGAGCAGACTAAATTTTTTGGCTGCCCAAGCCCACTTCTTTTATTTTTCCTATATCGTTGTCTGCTTTCTTTTTCTTTCAGAATTGACCATGTAGTGTAACCCGAAATAAGGGTTGTCCTTTTTAACGTTATGAGCATCTTGAGTGCTGCCTTTGTTTAAAATAAGAATAAAACAATTACTCGCCGATCATGGTCCCGCAAGTCTACACCTAACGCACACCTAATTTTTATTTTTATACAATAAAAATAAAAAATTACTCGCCATGATCTTGACCTCGCAAGTCTACACCAAAATGCGCACCTAATTAACCAAGATGCTTTGCTCTGCCAAATGGACGTGTTAGAATATTGTTACCAATACATCTTCTTGATTGTGCCAGCCAACACTCACCCAATAATTAATATAGACAAAGACAAGCAAGCTGGGTACATGGGTAGAGACCACATGATTTGCTCCGACCTAGGGCGCCGTCTTTTCTGCTCCGCTCTAAAGCTAGTCATGGGCCAAGAAGAAGAGACCAAAATGGGTTAGTCAATGAATCTGTTGTGCATTTCCAAAATGCAAAAAAGAAAAGAGACACACCCGACATAACACGCCAACCTAATGTAACCGAAATGCGGCTGTTCTTTTAACATTCCAGCATCTTGATGATGCCCTTTGCCACAATAAGAAAAAAATTAGATGCTCATGGCCTCGCAAGTCTACATAGGGGCTAATTTTATTTTTATACAATACCCAAAAAAATTACTTGCCATTGATGATGGATTAGTAGTAATAACTAGATGCTTTTCTGAGAAATGGAGTGTTAGAATATTGTTACCAATACATCTTTGGACTTGCTTATCACTACCAATGATGCCAAGAGATAGACAAGCAAGCTAGACTTCTTTTGCCTGTGTCGACCTAAGTCCAAAGCCACATAGAACCCAAACGATAGGGTGCCTTGGCACTGCATCTGCTCTGCTTTTGTTTCTGATCTGATCTACATCCTCATATGCCTCATCGATCGATTGATTGATGGTCACACTCACACCTACCGACCTACAGGGATCTCTCACTCACTATTACATAATTACTATACTGAAAGTTCTTAATTCATTGAACAGAATCACTACCACCGAACATATTGGTATAGACAGCCGAAATAAACTTCTTTTTTCCTGTGTCGGCCTGAGTCCAAAGCCACGTAGAACCCAAACGATAGGGTGCCCTGGCACTGCATCTGCTCTTGATCTGCTCTGCTTTTGTTTCTGATCTGATCTGCATCCTCAGTGAACAATAGAGACGAGGGGATCTCTCACTCACTATTACATAATTACTATACTGTATGGTTTGTGTTAACCAGTGAACAATAGAGACGAGGGAGGTGTATGCCCACCTTTGTAAATCGAAAAAAGAACAGCGGCCGAGACTGCCTAGGCCCACTGCCGAGCCTATCAAGGAGGCGGGTTGCCACACATCCTAAGAATCTTGCTTCTATTAATCAATTTTTAAAAGACAATCATTGAATTGTCTTCATAAATGAACCATCTGCCTCTAAAATATACTAGCTATTTTAGGCAATTTATTTGTGAATGCATTTGTAAGTAGTAAATAAAAAGACATGTCCCTGAAAATCGATTTTGTGCCAGTGAATCCAAATGTGAAGTGCTCTCACCATTTTTTAAATGTATAGGGAATATTAGGATTTGAAATTACAAATCAAACCTCATAACTTTTAGAGATCTCTAACTTTTGTTGGATTCACAATTGGTCAGGTTATATGCATGCATGTTTAGTGCAGTGCCCAAAAGTTTGTATCAAAGTATAATTTCGAAGACTTTTCTAATTCAGATCCTGTATGCCATATAAAAAAGATATGCAAACTCAAATTTATCTTTTCGAAAAATGTACAAATTAAAATTCATTTTATTAAAAAATGTGCAAATTAAAATTTCTTTTTTTTAAAAAATGTGCAAATTAAAGTTTATTTTTTTTAAAAAAAATTGTGCAAATTCAACTTTGGCTGCGTGCGCCACACAACGCCTACGCGGCGCGCCAATAAATTTATCTAATTTCCACAAGGCCACACTGCAGTTTTCTAAGAAAAGGTTTGTGGCCCGGCCTATCATTATTTGCGGGCCAATTACGATGAACAAAGCTACAGTCTGAAATAGCAGACGGTTTGTGAGCCAGCAGAAGATCCTTGGAAAAGTGCGTCACCCGGATCGGACCTCAAGATCACACGCGACGGTGACCTGCAGCGTGTGGTCCTGGTTAGGAGTACTAAACCCATCGTCAGACCCACAGTGAGTCAAGCTAAAATTTATTGGAAATGTAAACAAAATCTTTAGTTCACACACTAAAATTTTAATAAAATTAACTAAAATTCCTTAGGATCTTTTTATTTTGAAGGAATTGGAATCTACTAGGCTATTTGGCTTGGAATTTGACATTCCACAACTTTGCTAAGCTCACGTATAAGTCTATCTCAAATCTATAAAGTAGGAGAGGAAAATTGATTCTACAGATCACCGTGCTACGTTCCTGCTCTCTTATGGCACGTTCTCAACTCGCTTCTCTATAGTAGAAATACAACATATAAGTATCTTCTTTATATGACTAACTGTAATATACAAATATATTCATATTAGCTTAATTAATCTGTACCTAAATTATAATTATTAGAATGAATTCAATTCCAATGATCTAAACGGGGCCTAAAGATAACTAATTTAACGTAGAAATTCAAGAGAATCTTTTTCGGCCATAAAATTACTTTTCATAGAGAACCAGAAAGTATGCTGCACTAGCTCATGTTCTGGTCCATTAACCTCACTTCAAACTTCTTACGTTCCTCCTCCATAATCTAAAGCATAGTTTTATTTCATCTCATTACATATTATATTTTAATTCAATGGTTGTTCACACGGTTTTCTTACCGCATCAAAAGGTACCTTTGTGTCGCATTTGCATGCCTAGATAATGATAGTCCATATCAGTAGATATCTAATAAAGTAGTAAAGTTACATAAATAATAACATCAAATCAAGAAGGTAACATAACATAAATAAAAAGCAAAAAAAAAAAACTAAACACATCAAGAATGATTAACGAGAGTGCGGAGAAGTGCTGCAGTAGCAGCGCCGCGCTGACGCTGTTGTTGATGCCTCCTCTCTTGTTTAGAAGAAGAAGAAGCACTATAAATTCCATCACGTCGCATCCCCTCTCCCAACACTCCAAGGCAGAGCAGCTCCATTGCCGCTAGCTCAGCACTCGCCACGAGCACACCACCGATTGCCATGGCCGGCGGCAACCTCAAGAACATGGTCGTCGCCTTGCTCGTCCCGCTCCCATCCATCCTCTTCTACCTCTCCTTCGTCCGCGCCGGCGGGGACACCGGCGCCAGCACGCTCTCCTCGTGGTGCGCCGCGCACCCTCTGCTCCTCGCCAACATCCTCTTCTTCCTCAACGTCGACGTCCTCTTCTGGCTCGTCGGTCTCCTCCTCTCCAACCACTGGGTAAGCAAGCACTAGTCATTTCCTCCACCTCGCGCCACTTCCTTGTTGGCTTCACTTCATCATGTCCCCACGGATTCTTTTTGAGTCCGTTTCCACTGCGAGCACGCTTGCCCGCAAGGTGTTCGACGCAATGCCTTGCCTACTCGGTGCTTATTGTATCATCAACTTTGCAGCTCATCGACCTGTACTGGACCGTCATCCCTGTGATGCTGCTGCACTACTACGGCGGCCACCCGGCGTCCGTGGCGGACGCTGTGAGGTCGGCGGTGGCCGTGGCGCTCACCTGGGTGTGGAGCGCCAGGCTCACGCACAACTACCTCAGGCGGGAGGGGTGGGAGTTTGGCAAGAGGGAGGACTGGAGGTTCAACGAGATGCGTGGCCAGTACGGCAAGACCTGGTGGTGGATGTCATTCTTCGCTGTCTACCTCTCCCAGCAGGTGATGATGATTCTATTCACAGAATTTGCATTCTGTCCGAAGAAATCACAGACAGACATCACGAAACCATTCATAATCTGTTT